TCCCGCTGGACAGATGGGAAAACGGACCCCCCAGGTGCCCGGCTAGGTGCGGGCATGGTTCTCCGTTTACCCTCTTAAGTCTTACCCCCACCCACAGTGAGCCACCCCTTCCACAGGAGACCTGGAGTCCACGTTGTCTCCTGGCCGGACCTTCTGGAAAACACCCCTTTCTCCCCCAAACACCCCACACCTTTCCCCTGACACATGTACACTCAGCTGTATGGCAAACAGACGCATGTTCAGGGCAGGACAACAACCCCTCTGTCAGCTAAATCTTATGTGAGAGACTGTCCAGAAATGACAAGAACTAAACTACAAACAGGGGACTGGGTACAGGAAACATGGGGACCGTGCAGAGGAGGGAAGGAGACACTGCCGAGCAAGAGGACGGGAAAAAGTTTGAATTTCCTAACACAGCGGGAGGGAGATGCCTTATGTGGTTTGTTCACACAAGGTGTGGTCACAGGACAATCAGGCTCCTGTCATTTCAAATCCAAAGGTCCATTCTGTTTATGTCCTCAGTCCCTGCCTGAACCGGCCCCTCCTACTGTGCCTGCAATGCTGCTGTAACCGCTGCTTGCACACTGCCTGCCCCTCTCCTGAGACCTGGCCCCACGTTGGAGGAGGTTAGTAGAAGTTTCCTTTCAGAGAAGGACCCGGCCTCCCTCCGGACCCTGCACTGTGGCTGCTCTCAGACCGAGGTGTCCCGCGTCCCTGCGGGTCTGCGATGCTGCCCGTCTTTTCCTGGCTTCCTTCAGTCTCTTCGTGCTTGTCTGTGACTCATTTCAGCGTCTCCATCAGTACCCTTTCTGACTCTCCAGGACACTTTTATTTGTTAATATCTGCCTAAAAGGCCATTCTCTGTGGGACACAGGTCACCTCCGCCGCCTGACATTCAGAAGACGGTCCAGGAGAACCACTGCACTGCATGTCCCCTCATGTAACCAGGTTGGGTGGGCTTTCTGTGACAGCACTGCTCCATGTGGGTCCCACTGATCACCTGGCCAGTGAAACACCAGATGGTGTCACACTGAAGGGCTCTAGTCGAGCATCTGCTGCCCCCTGCCGGTCTCTCCTGGAATAATCTGTTCTTGGAGTAACAGGCTCCCAGATTTTGCCTGAGTTGGTTTCAGGGCAGGCTTCCTGCCTGTCAGCCTCAGCCTATGTCCTGACCATGGGATGTCCACACTGTGTGTGGGCCTAAGAGGCTGTGGACTTATTTGGAATAATCTCCTTTCCTCCTGTGGCATCAAGGATGACACACAGAGAAAGGAGCCCCTTTTCGGTCCTAGCACCATAGCACTTGTGTGACTGTGGGCGGGTCATTTGCTGCTCAGTTTCCTAATGTTTTAATCAACATTTTACAGCCTGCCCTGGCCGGTTTGACTCAGCAGTTAGAGCGTCGGCCTGCAGTCCAGAGAGACTCGAGTTCATTCCCACGAAGGGCACGTACCTCGGTTGCAGTTTGTCCCCAGCCCTGGATGGTTGTGCAGGTGGCAGTCACTCAATGTGTCCCTTTCACATCGATGTTTCTCTCTCTCTCTCTCTCTCTCTCTCTCTCTCTTCCTCTCTCTCCCTCCCACTCTACCTGAACAAAAATGGAAAAATGTCCTCAGGTGAGGATAAAAAAAAAATTTTACAACCTATCTTAATTTATGAGAACAATTAAGACGATGGAGATGACAGGATTTAGAAAGTTATAAGTGGCCGCACAGAGGATTATTACACCGATGAAGTTCACCATCAACTTCCTTGTCTTTGCTACATCAGATTAATTCCAGCATATTTTCTGAGATTTCCAAACCTCAGGAAAGTTCATCTAAAGAAGAAAAGTTATCAGAGAATTAGAGCGTGTTTACCAAGGGCCAGAGTATAACCCCCCACAGTCAAGGGCAGCTGTGGGGGAGGGCGGAGAGCAAAGGAAGGGAGGGAGGGCTGGGAGGGAGGGAAGGAAGAAGAAAGGAGGAAAAGAAGGAAGGAAGGTCTCTTAGTATATTCTGAACATGTGAAAGTGGATGGTTTTCCTGAGGAGGGCCGAAAACCCACTAAATAAATAGAAAAATGTGCAAACGTTATTTATGTAAAATGGAAGCAGCCTGAATAGCAAAAAAAAAACACTGAAAACTATATTTGAATTCAGTGGTAATTAGTAAAATACAAGGGTAAACTAATAAAGACATCCTTATATATGTCCATAAGAGTGATATAAAGTTAAAAGTCAAATATCACCAAGTGCAAGTACAGATTGGGGAATTCTCACACATGGCCGGTGTCAGCCAGAATTAGCCTGGTGCTCTGGAATCCTCTTGACAATATCTAGTTCCATGGGGGTTGTCTGTCCCACACCGATGGTTGCATGTGTGCACAGAGATATGCAGTACATGGGTTACTTTGCAGCAAGCGTATATTTTGAAACAGCTTAAATGTTTGTTAATAAAGTGTGACTCAGTTGGTTGATCATCATCCCATGCACCAAAATGTCGCCAGTTCAATTCCCAGTCAGGGCACATGTCCAGATTGTTGTGGATTTGATCCCCGGTTGGCATGTGGTGAGTGGCAACCAATCAATATCTCTCTCTCTCTCTCTCTCTCTCTCTCTCTCTTTCTCTCTCTCTCTCTCTCTCTCTCCCTCTCTCTCTCTCTTCAATAAACACACACACACATACAAATATAACTTTACTTTATTATTGGATAAAATGTTATATAAATAATGTATTTATGTAAAAGTTTAAAATTCAAAAACAGTATTAGACATTACCTGTAGATACATGGGTATGTAGAAGTGTAATACACACATAAGATGATACATTAAAACCTCAGAACACTGGTTCCCTTGAAGGGCAGAGGGCGGGAGAAAGAGCCCTGGGAACCAAAAAAAGACATAAATGGAATTCCATGTGCAATGTTTTAACTTTTCAAGCAAATAGAACAGCTGCAGTAAACAAAATGCCAACACACTTATTTGTTCATTGCAAACGGTACATTTTTTTTTCATCAGTCTGTGCATTTCTTCACTTAAAAACTTTGTGTCATAAGTGCGCAACATTTAAAGTGGAATAAATCAACACAGTCTCATGTTGGGTATCACTGCTGTATGTCGCATACCCGCCTTTTCTAACACCAACATGAGTACACAATATCATGCCTCACTTGAAAGAAACATTTATGGTAATTGATGGCAATGGCTGTGCCAATGTCTGTTTCAGTCGGCTGGGATGGGTGATTACTGGGAGACAGGGGCCTCAGAGCCAACTGGGAGAAACATTTGAGTCAACACGGAGCAGGAAGTGACTTTCTTGAATTTGTCCTGAGTGTTGATTCTTTCTCTTTGGCCAGGGCACCCCCTTCTCTCCACCAACTGCTCGGGGGGCTAGCAGCAAACTTACTAGAGCAGGGTGGGAAAAGTCCCTTGCTGTAAGTGACATTGGCTGTTTGAAGTACTGAGCCTCTCCAGTCCCCAAAAGTCTTTGTGTCCCATGGACATTCCAGTGGCCAGAGGAGGGTGGGATCTGACACATGTATCCTTCAAGGACTGAGCTGAGAAATACTTTTTCCAGGAAGTTGACCTACTTTGATTCCAAAAATAAAAGTGCCCCACTCCTCATTCCATAAAAGAATGCTTTCTTTGTGTTATACCTTTTCCAGTTGGAGAGACATAAGCTAGTGATTTGTTTCAAAACATTCCCTGCTTTCCTGTAAGCTGGGAAAAATAAAGTAAGCATGCACTGTGTTAGCACAGCCTGGTTTGCCTCAAGCTATTCATTGGCCTTTGCAAGTATCACGTGAGTGCGGACATTAGCAGTAAAAATGGCTCCTCCGTGGAGAGTGGGGGCTTATTCGGCCTCAGAACTGGAGGTGCCCTCAGGCCTTACCCACTCCCAGTGGACACTGGCTTCTTATTCTTTTCCTGTTTCTCTTCCAGAAGAGAATGGAAGGATTTCCAAAGACCAGATATGGGACTATGGCTGGAGGTAAGACAGCCTCCAAGTCCTCTAGAAGAGAAGACAGTGCTCACTTGTTCTTTTCCTGCCCCGGCAGCATCTCAGCCCCACCAGACCCCACAGCACGATGCTGTCCGTGCACACGGTGTGGGAGACGTGCAAATGAAACCAAGTCCAAAGTGGGAGGAGTTTGAACTGAATTAGGAATAAATTTTCTCTTTCCTGGTCCACTCTCAGCTGAAATGTGGAAAAGTTCCCCCGAGAGATTTAGTAATCATGTTTGCTACAGAATATTCCCGAACATTGCAGAAAAGGGAGAACCAACACAGAGTAGAGAAATAAAGTAATAGATTTTAGGAGCCGGCAATGAACTTGGAATCCATTTGGGCACCACCGAGAACTCCAGAACTCCTCAACTCTCTCCTTCCTTCATCCCTCAAGTTTTAGCTCTTGGCTCAGGGTGGCCCTCCCCATCACCACTGTTGTTACCTTCCTGTAAGTCAATCGGACAAGTGGGTGATCTTTCCACCACCTGCACTTCTAGTGGTCTGACACTCCAGTCCCCTTTAGCCACCTCTCCAGCTAATCTCCCAGACTTTGCCCTTGACATTAACTGTGACCTTTCTGTCTTCTCAATTTCAAGCATCCAACTCCCCACCCAAAGAGCAGACCCAGGGACCCTCAGCTGGTCCTTGGTGGGAGGTCCCAGCTGAGACTCCATCTCCTCCCAAGGTTTAGGTGAAGCTGTCGGGCACTTCTGTACAAGTGTGCCTGGGAATTTGTGGGTGCAAAATGGAGTAAGATTTTTGCATTGGTGACGTCTCATCCTCTGCCTCCTTCTAACGACACATTTACTCAGCATGAAACTGATAAACCACAGAATTTATATGCATGTATGCATGAACAGTGGACATGGACAACAAACTGGGGAAAGGGCAGCCAGGGAGGGGGAGGGGGGAATCAGTGGGGGGGGGAGAAACATCTGTAACAAAAATTAATTAATAAAAAATAAATAAATTTTTAAAAATAAATTTAAAAAAAGAAAAGAAAAAAAGAAACTGGTCCAGGCACCATCCCTGGAAACACACAGGAGCCGCTTTTCTTTCAGAAAAACTGTGTCTTCCCTGGTGTCCAGGAAGGGTCTGGAGCATCCTCCTCAGTGGGGCAGTTCCTACTGTGGGCTATGGGTCCAGAGTGGGCTTCCTGTGGACTTCCTATGACCCAAGACCTCCTAAGTTGTCGGTGAACTTTGTATGTATTACATAGGACTGTTGGGAGGAAAGTCCGTGGCTTTCATGAGATACCATGAGGGTCCAGGACTGAGAAATCTGAAGCCTCACTGACTTAATAAGAAACATTTATCTTACAGACATGGCAGAAGATAACCGGTTTGCACCATCGTCCTCCCTGAGGCTCATCCTGGTGGGCACATCCGGCTGCGGGAAAAGTGCCACCGGGAACAGCATCCTCTGCCAGCCCGTGTTTGAGTCCAAGCTGGGGGCCCAGGCTGTGACCAGGAAGTGCCAGAAAGCCACGGGCACATGGAATGGGAGGAGCATCCTGGTGGTGGACACGGCCCCCATCTTTGCGGCAAAGGCCCATGGCCAAGAGATGTACGAGGACATCGGGGACTGCTATGTGCACTCCGCCCCGGGGCCCCACGTGCTGCTGCTGGTGACGCAGCTGGGCCGGTTCACTGCCCGGGACACGGAGGCAGTGAGGAGGGTGAAGGAGGTCTTTGGGGCAGGAGCCATGAGACACGTGGTGGTCGTCTTCACCCACAAGGAGGACTTAGGGGGCGAGTCCTTGGATGAGTACGTGCGCAGCACAGACAACTGCAGCCTGCAGAGCCTGATCCGGGAGTGTGGGGGGAGGTACTGCGGCTTCAACAACCGGGCCACCGGGGAGGAGCAGAGGGGGCAGCTGGAGGCCCTGATGGTGGTGGTCGAGAGGCTGGAGAGGGAGCACCAGGGCACCTTCTACACAAACGACCTCTACCTGGAAGCCAAGGAGATGCAGGGGCGCGTCGGGAAGGAGCGCAAAGACTACCTGGCCAAGGTGCGAATGCATGTGAAGAAGCAAAAGCGAGACCTGAAGAAGACGGAGACTGGGAGTAAATGGCTGCCCAATAAGGTCCCCAAGTTCCGATAGAAGTACGTAACTTCAACTTTTTTTATTTTAATTTTCATTTGCATGAAATATGGATATCCATCCTTTCAGTCTCTGTGTGTCTTTCATTCTGAGGTGCGTCTCTTGTAGACAACACATATATGGGTCTGTTTTTCTTTATCTGCTCTGCTACCCTGTCTTTTGATTGGATCGTTTCATATATTGATTTTTAAATTGGTCATTGATCACTATGTATTTATTGCCATTTCATTATGGAACGGGACACAGATTTTCCAGATAAAGGAACATGGGCATTTGTGTGTGATGGGGGAGAGGCAGGGAAATGTCGGACCGCTCCCCTGGATCTGGATCTGAAACCTCCCAGCAAATTTGCTCTCAGCATAGATTTCTCCTTGCTTCCTGTTTCCTGTCTCTGCTGATTTTAGGCTATACTCTGGGGGGTTTTTGTTGTTGTTTTTTGTTTTTTTTAATCCTCACCCAAGGACATTTTTCCATTTTTTGTTCAGATAGAGTGGGAGGGAGAGAGAGAGAGAAACATTGACGTGAAAGGGACACATCGAGTGGCTGCCACCCGCACGACCAACCAGGGTCGGGGACAAACTGCAACCGAGGTACATGCCCTTAGCGGGTCTCTAGGCCGATGCTCTAACTGCTGAGCCAAACCGGCCAGGGCTGTACTCTGTTTTAAAGGCTGAGCCCTACAACATAGTACCTCTTTCAGGGATTTCTGCTCAGAGGACATTTATACAAATGAATGATTTCTTTCACCCTTTATTGAATTGATACATAAACTGGAAGCTTTCAGGGATAGAGCTGGCTGAGTGCACAGGTGAGCTGAGGGCAGCTGGTGGGGGAAGAGCACAGGAAGTGTAAGAAGCACAGCTCGATGTGTCCCCCTCCGAACACCCATCACCAACAGCAACTCTCTGGCCCAAGCAGATTTGTAAACATTCTGTGATTTCCCTTCCCAGTTTATAAGAAGCTGTTTCCTATGCCCTAGCCTTAGGGGGTAAAGACATAAATCTTCTTTCAAAAGGAGTGTCTGTCTTTTTAACAGTGATTCAGGTTTGTATCTTATGGCTTCCTATCAGATGAGCCTGTCTTTAACAACTAATTTCAGCCCGTCCCAGTGAAATTTGGCTGCAGTGGGAGTTCTTCAAACAGCTTTCCCCATGGCTGAACGTTTCTGAATAGCAGGGAGAAGAAATATTCAAAATGTAATTGTTTGTTTCTGTGACACTAAACATGTATGAATAAGGAAAGGGTAGTCTTTTTCACAGGTGTAGCCTGGACATAAAGATCAGGAAGAAAGCAAGAATCAGTTTCTTTATTTAACAAATATTTATTGAGAACCGCTATTTGTCCAGTAGTACTTGTCCCAGGTAATAAGGGAAATATAAGACACAGAGGGTCCCACCATTGCCATAGATGAAATTTATTGGGGTGACATTGGGTAATAACAGTGTATAAGTTTCAGGTGTACAATCATATAATACATCATCTGTATATTGCGTTGTATGCTCACCACCCAAAGCCTTGTGTCCATCCATCACCATATATTTTTCCCATTTTACTCTCTTCAAGTTTCCCCACCCTTTTTCTTCTGGTAACCACCATACTGTTGTCTGTGTCTATGAGTTTGTTTGTTTATTTGTTTTCTTTGTTTACTGGCTGTTTTTATCCCAAATATTGAGTGAAATCCTATGGTTCTTGTTTTGGTTCATCAGACTTTTTTTGCTTAGTGTGATACTCTCAAGATCTAGCAACGGGACAAGTTTGATGGGCAGCCCTGTGGCCATGTGAAATATAATAAACATAACAAGGCTTATCTTCAGTGACCCCAATGTTACCATAGGCAGGCAGTCAGCACCGGGAAATCCTCCATTGGCCAAAATGGTGCAGGGGAAGGTTCTGACACTAAGCCACCAAAAGCTACAAAGATGAACGGAGGAGGCCTGAGTACTGAAAGCTAGCATGATAATTGGATAGAACAAAAGCTGTTTCCTCCTTATCCCTATAAACACTTTGGGTGTGAGCAGGAAAGGGAGATGGTCTTTGAGATGGGAGTCCACCAGTCTTCCATATCACATGGCACCTGAATGTAGCCTCTTTCCTTTTGCACCAGCACCTACCTCATGAGTTTGGCTTTCATTGTGGCAGGCGGCCAATTCTGTGTTTTGGGTTACAGTTTTTGGTGCCTCTCTGGGACAGGGTGGCTCTTGGTAAGTTCCAGAGGCCCAGATTGGGTCCCAGGTGCCTGTGGCGGGACTATGGGGATTTCCCAGCAGCTGCCTCAGAAAATTTCCCTGCACTCCTTCTCAAGGCATCAGCCACCTGAAAATCTTGGCTGGTGAAAGGAAACGTATTTCTGGGGAGCAGATATACTCCAAGATGGTAAATTGAACCAGCATGCACACCAGGGTCCTCCATCCCTGCTACTTCAGCTTTGTGACACTTGGGTTCAGTTAGGACCATTTGTGGTACTGCTTGGCAGTTATCCTAGGCCATCTTTGCCACTTGGACTTCCTGCCACTTGAGCTTTGTGCCACTTGGGCTTCATGCTATGTGGACCACTTGCAGTATCGGTTGAAAGGAGATAAGACCCTAGAACTTGCTTGTGAGCAATTAGACCATTAGTTTGGACTAATGGAATTATGGATTCAAGGTTTGTTCATATGTTTCTACTTTGTCTGGGGTCTTTCTATAGTTATGGTTTTGGGTTGTACTCTCATGCCATCAGGGGTTGTTCTGTTTCTACTCCTGAAGGAAGCCCATTGGGCTGAATTTTTTTAATATTATTATTAATTTGTTTTTGCTACAGATGTTTCTCCTTTTTTCCCCATTGACACCCTGCTCCCCATCCTCACCACCCCATCTCCAATTTTGTTGTTCATGTCCATCGGTTATGTATACATGCACATAAGTTCTGTGGTTTATCTCTTCCATCCCCTCTGCCCCTCTTCTGAGGGTTGTCAGTCTGTACCCTATTTCCACGTCTCTGGGTCTACCCTGTTCCTCAGACTGTTATGTTTATTATATTCCACAAATAAGTGAGATGATGTGATATTTGCCTTTCTCTGCTTGGCTTGTTTTGCTTAGGATAATATTCTCCAGGTCCCTCCATGTTGTCTCAGATGATAAGAGATCTTTCTTTCTTACAGCTGCATAGTACTCCATTGTGTATATGTACCTCACCTTTTTTATCCATTCGTCTACTGAGGGACACTTGGGCTGTTTCCAGATCTTAGCTATTGTAAATAGTGCTGCTATGAACATGGGGGTACATATATTCTTTCTGATTGGTGTTTCAGGCTTCTTAGGGTATATTCCTAGAAGTGGGATCACTGGATCAAATGGCAATTCAATTTTTAATTTTTTGAGGTAACACCATGGTGTTTTCCATAGTGGCTGCACCAAGCTGCATTCCCACCAGCAGCGTTATACTAGAGTCCCCTTTACTCCACACCCTTGCCAACACTTGTTGTTTGATGATTTGTTGGTGGCGGCCATTCTGACAGGTATGAGGTGATACCTCATTGTTGTTTTAATTTGCATCTCTCTGATGATTAGTGATGATGAGCATTTCTTCATATGTTTCTTAGCCATTTGTATGTCCTGTTTGGAGAGGTGTCTATTTAGTTCCTCTGCCCATTTTTTAATTGGATTTTTGTCTTCCTTTTGTGGAGTTGTATGAGCACTCTATATGTATTGGAAATTAACCCCTTATCTGTTATATCATTGGCAATTATGCTCTCCCATACAGTGGGTAGCCTTTCCGTTTTGATGATTGTATCTTTCACTGTGCAGAAGCTTTTGAGTTTGATGTAGTCCCCTGTGTTCATTTTCTCCTTTGTTTCTATTGCCTTAGGTGATGTGTCAGTAAAAATTCTGCTGCATATGATGTCTGAAATTTTGTTGCCTACAGTCTCTTCTAGGATTTTTAAGGGTTCATGAGTCACATTTAAGTCTTTTATCTATACTGAGTTTATTCATGTGTATGGTGTAAGTTGATGGTCTAGTTTCATTTTTTGCATGTAACTGTCCAATTTTTTCAACACCATTTATTAAAGAGGCTGGCTTTACTCCATTGTGTGCTCATGCCTCCTTTGTCAAATATTAATTGAGCATAATGTCTTGGATCCATTTCTGGGTTCTCTGTTCTGTTTCACTGGTCTATATGCCTGTTCTTGTGCCAGTACCAGGCTGATTTATGTGTTTTGTTTTGTTTTTATCCTCAACCAAGGACATTTTTCCATTTTTTGTTCAGACAGAGTGGGAGGGAGAGAGAGAGAGAAAAACATCGACGTAAAAGGGACATATCGAGTGGCTGCTACCCACACGACCAACCAGGGCCAGGGACAAACTGCTACCAAAGTACGCTGAGCCAAACCAGCCAGGGCCCCGGCTGTTTTGATTACAGTAGCTTTGTAGTATAACCGGATATTTGATATTGTGATCCCACCTACTTTGTCCTTCTTTTTTCAAGACTGCTGTGGGTATTCGGGGTCTTTTTTGGTTCCATATGAACTTTTAAAGTATTTGTTCTAGTTCTGTGAAATATGTCATTGGTATTTTGATGGGGATTGCATTGAGTCTATAGATTGCTTTGGGTAATATGGACATTTTAATTATGTTAATTCTTCCAATCCATGAACAAGGTATGTGCTTTTACTTTTTTATATCTTCTTCTATTTCTGTTTTCAATGTCCTATAGTTTGCTCCAAATAGGTCCTTTACTTCTTTGGTTAAGTTTATTCCTAGGTATCTTAATTTTTTTTGCCGCAATGGTAAATGGGGTTATTTTTTTAGTTTCTCTTTCTGTGAGTTCATCATTGGTGTATAAGAATGCCATCAATTTCTTGATGTTAATTTTGTATCCTGCTACTTTGCAAAATTCATTTATTAAGTCTTTGATGGAGTCTTTAGGGTCTTCTATGGATAATACATGTCATCTGCAAATAATGACGGTTTCACTTCCTCCTTTCTAATTTGGACCCTTTTATTTTTTATTTTTATTTTTTCATGTCTGATTGCTGTGGCTAACACTTTCAGTACTATGTTAAATAAGAGTGGTAAAA